ATATTAGTATTCAAATAATTTTAATTTATATGCTCTATATCGAAATTTGAGTTCAGTATTTTGGTTTTCGTTATTGTAATGCGTATATTGTAAGGGTTTTACACAATTTAAAACATAAATTTTGTACGCATTGAGTAAATCAAGTAGAATCGATAAGTTTTTTTTAAATATTATTTTTCTAATCAGTTTATTCGGAATTCATTGTTTTCAGTTCATTTTTTATTTTTGTTAAAATAATACTTACATTTAGGAATAAAAATTACGTCCTTAATTTCTAAATTTCAATATATTTCGAATCCTCACTGATTTCAGCACTCGGAGAGGCCTCATGCATTAGTGCCTAAATCAATGAGATTTTGTAGCGTAATTGTAGCCACAAAGGCTAACAGATTTCAGCACCCTGGTGCCATCGTATAGGAGAATGTGTAAATATGCGTACCGGCTAGCGATATAGATTGTATGATTCATATAATATATAATATTCTTTAAAATTGAACCTAATAGAATAGAAATGCGGTAGTATATGTAGTTATTATTTTTTGTAGACAAGCTCGAAAAAATTAAATTGATCTTGCTTCCCTGGTCAGACATTTAATCGTTTAATTGTTAGGAATAGATAAGTTCAAATTTTGATTTTATCTTTCAGGCCTGATGATATGCCATTGTGGTGTGTAGGTATAATATTTGGGAATAATAAGATGGAAACGGATTCATATAATTTATAACTCGTGTTTAATTTATTTTAGGTTCAATTCCAATTGATCTTCCTTACCAGATAAGTCAATTAATATTTTAACTTTTCTTTGCTTGTCTTTCTTAATAATTACTACATGTAGATAAAACTATGTAATCTGAAAAATAACCTAGATCATTAACTTTATATATTATGAGCTCCTTTTCCAATATATGCCTGATAATATAACTTTAGTTTTTCTTCTTTGGACTGACACTATAGCCTACAAATATGTAGCAACATTTTTTAAATTATCAATTTCTACCACCTGCTTATGGTTTTAATTGTTATATTCTGATATTGTTCTAGGATTTAAATATTTTCATTTCATAGAAAACTATTAAAACATCATACAGTTCTGAAAGATCTTCTAAAACATTTGTTGATCTAGTAAGTGTTGTGTTTCTGAATTCTTTTTTATTTTCTTAAAATTGTAAAGATAATATGGCCAGAATTCCTAGTGTCCTTGTAAGAGCCACAGGGGCGAATGGGACCCCTTGGAGCGGCGCGGAAAGTCAATTAAAACGGCGCCCCACCGGTCCATCAAAAAAAATTAAAAAGCTTTTCTTATATATATTTTTTTTATTAATAAATTAACCAAAAATTATTTTACAATAACTGATAAAAACAAACTTCATTGTTTTACTTAAAACAAACAAAGTTATAAAAATAACCTACAATAATTATTATTATTAGTTATAAACCCAAATAAAAAGGAACTCTTAATTTTGTTAACACAAATCTCACATAAATAAAAAGGAACTCTTCTAATGGCGTTTTCCTTTCGCACTGGTAGTACGAACTGGAAAAAAAATGTAAGAATACACTAAGATCGTACTGAACATTCCAATGGAAAATGCTATAAAGTTTGGCAGTCAAAACAACAGTTTCTTTAAAAATCAAATATTGATTCTTCCATAAACGGTCAATGACGTCGTCATTTTGTATTGTATTTAATATGTCGTTTTGTATATGTCGTCGGTTTTGACTGAGAGTACTCCTATGCCTGTTTTTCAAGTACTTATAAATTAGAATTGTCAACAAATGTTTATATGCTACTGATAATTTTTGGGTAAGCCTCTTTTTACATATTATATTTAAAAATAAAGGAATAGAAGCACAGAGAGCAATTTCTGCAACTCTTGCATTGCATAATGTTTTCTTTACCACCATCGTCCTGTTGATTACTGGTTGATTACTGGTAAAAGTGATATTTTTGTACTCGGACAATCACAATTCCTGCTAAGCGACAATTCTAGTCAGTGTTTTTCCTGGTTGTACAATTGTACAAAAAGTTGTACAATCAGTTATGTGGTTGTACGCATTTTTGAAAAAAGACATAAATGTACAATTTGAATTGCTAAATATTTATGTGAATCGGGTATATAAAAGGTTTTCTTTGCTCAAAAAGTCTACGATTCGTTAAATAGCATGCATTAAAATTAATAAAAAAATAACAGTTTAAATTTGGCGCCATTCGCGACCAATCAGTACACCGTTTTACATCGAAAATATATTTTAAACTGGAAAAAAGAAGAAATTTAAGCATGGGGAAATAGTAGGCCATAGTCTATCAATAAAAAAGAAGAAGATTAATTAGTGGTTGTACAATCGAACGTAAAAGTGTACAATTTTGACACTGAAAGTTGTACAATTTAAAAATCCCTAGGAACAACACTGATTCTAGTACATACTTCTGGAAGCACGTGAGTGTATCAAAGCGCTTGGTAACAACCATGAATTATAAATTTACTAGTAATGCAATTTCCTTTAATTTTAATTTAAGCGGTAACATCAAAAAACTGTTATCAATGAAAATTTGAACACAAACTCGATATTTTGTCCAGAATTGAGAAAAATATCGAATTAGGTACAAAGTTAAAGACTCATTAACTATAGATTTATATTTTGAAATGGAAATGTTATTTAAGCAGAAGGTATTAGGTAAACGTACACAAAGACCATATATTTTATATTGCAACACTCTCGTTGCCCGTTTTTTCTACTGAATTATTCCTGCAATCCTAGAATAATAAAAAGAGGCAGATGCCAAGTCAGACAAACGCGGAGTTACGAGATACCTCATATCCAAGCAACGTGACATGAAACATTACGTTTTTGTGAGCATGGGCGCTTTCGTTATGTACCTATACGAGCCCCTTCCCATTTCAGTTGGCCCACCTACTGATATGTTCTTTATATAACGACAATAAGATAGTATTAAAGATTACATGCTTTTTTATATCATAAATTAATTAACAATGCATCAATTTAGAATTATATTAGAACTAAAACTAGAAAACATCAATTTTTTTATTTATTTTTAAATTTATTAACACATGGACCATTATTGCATTATTTCAACTTGAATTTAATTCGTTAGAAAATAAACCAAAATCGAAGGTAGCTTTGAAAAAATAACAAACAATAATGCAAATAACTGTCACAAGACAATTTAACCTCTTTTAAGCTAATTCTGTCTAATAAAATGGGTAGAGGAAAAATCATTGACGAAAAACTACTTTTTCTTGTTATAAAACATTGCAATTCTGGAAAATCGAACTCGGAAATTGCAAATATATTAGATTTATCACGATATAGTGTAAGAAATATAGTTAAAAGATACAAAACTACTGGTTTAATCAGCCCAAAGCCCCGTCATGTTAGAAAAAGCAAGATTACAAATGTCGATAGACGAGCATTGAAAAGAATTATTGAAACCAACCGTCGTGCTAATTACCTTGAATTAAGTGCTCAGTGGAGTAATGCTGTTGGAAGACGAATTTCGAAATCTTCATGTCATAGGGAAGCTCGCAAACTGGGATTTGGGACTTACAAAGTAAGTTTATAATAATAAAAACAATAAAAAAAACATGGATTGAAGACATTAAAACAATCAAATATGTTTGCTTAAAATTGATAATATTGTTACAGGTTAAAGAAAAACCACTACTAACTGTGAAACAGAAAAAAAATCGATTAAGATGGACAAAAGAACATATGAGTTGGACTTTTTATCAATGGGATGCAATACAATGGAGTGACGAGGCCCGATTCGAAGTTTGTGTTGGAGATAGCAGAAGTCGAGTTATTCGCAAAAAACATGAAGCGTTCCATCCAGATTGTCTCAAAAGAAAAGTAAAATTTCCCGCATCGGTCATGGGCTGGGGCAGCATGTCATCTAAAGAAATAGGGAAACTGCATTTTACTGAAAGAATTGTAAATACAAATAAATATTTGGATATTTTGGAGGAATCACTTTTACCGACTATGGAATTATATTTGACATCAGAGAAAGATTTTGTGTTTCAACAGGATGGAGCAGGGTGTCACACGTCAAAAAAAGCTCTAAAATGGATGGAAGACTTCGGTGTTCCACTTTTGGAATGGGTTTCTAGTAGTCCTGATTTATCACCAATAGAAACGTTATGGCATGAGATGAAAAAGGTTCTTCGAAAACATCCTGCAAGAACAATACCTGAACTTAAACAAAAACTTCAAGATATATAGGACTCGTTTACACCAGAATTTTGCCAAGGCTTAGTTAATACCATGCCGCAAAGAATTTCAGCTGTAATAAAAAATAAAGGTGACGTTACTCAATGGTAAACTTTAAAATTGATTAACGTTTGATTCCAACTATTTGTTTATTTTTTTTTAATTTTATGTTAAATAAATATTTTAATGTTTTCTACATATTTTTTGTGATTAAACGATATTAAACATATTTTTCAACGAATAAAAATTGGACAGTTCATGCAATATTTATATTTTTAATCTTTAAATACGAATTTCCTAAATTTCAATAGGTGGGCCAACTGAAATGGGAAGGGGCTCGTATTTATGATTTACAGACTTTCATTAATAAGTCGATTAATAAATTAGTTAATAAATTCTGGCTTTTTCAATTATTTTGAAAACAAAAAGAAAAAACTTATTTTTTCAAGCTCTGAGCGAGAAATTACACGTTGCCACATTATATCTTGTGAACTGAAACCAAAAATATGGATGCCTACAAACTAAATCATGAAGTGGCAGAAGGAGGGAAGTTCCGAAATGAAATGTGATGATGTCATAGCTTACTGTATCCTCTTAACTCATTTGTTAAATATTAATATTAAAAATTTAATAGTTTAATTTTATCCGAAATAAATGAATAAAAACTAATTTAATGGTAAATAAATTTTCATTATTAATAGAAATTAATTTTCAATTACAACTGTTTTAAATTATGAAATTACAGTTTTAATTTTAATTTTTTAATAAAATGAAGTGTATTTTGTCTATTGCACTTCTATTTGGAATTATATCTAATTGTCTTGCACAATGGGGGACAGACGACTATCTTACGCCGCCAGGTGACTATAATTATTGGGACAACTATGACCTAAATGAACATCGAGACCCTCCTTTTATTCATTATCCTAGTCATGAAGATCTAGATTTCTATGTGGGCAATGGCAAGGAATCCAATGAAAATGAATCCAATGAAAATGAATCCAATGAAAATAAATCCAATGAAAATGAATCCAATGAAAATAAATCCAATGAAATTGAATCCAATGAAAATGAATCCAATGAAAATGAATCCAATGAAAATGAATCCAATGAAATTGAATCCAATGAAAATGAATCCAATGAAAATGAATCCAATGAAAATGAATCCAATGAAAATGAATCCAATGAAAATGAATCCAATGAAAATGAATCCAATGAAAATGAATCCAATGAAAATAAATCCAATGGAAACGAATCCAGTGAAACTAAAACAATTGTAACGGAATCCAATGTAACTAAATCCAATGTAACCGAATCCAATGTAACTGAATCCAATGCAACTGAATCCAATGTAACTGAATCCAATGTAACTGAATCCACTGTAACTGAATCCAATGTAACTGAATCCAATGTAACTGAATCCACTGTAACTGAATCCAATATAACTGAATCCAATGTAAGAGAATCCAATGTAACTGAATCCAATGCAACTGAATCCAATGTAACTGCATCCAATGTAACTGCATCCAATGTAACTGAATCTAATGCAACTGAATCAAACGTAACTGAATTCAATGTAACTGAATTTAATGTAACTGAATCCAATGTAACTGAATCCAATGTAACCGATTCCAATGTAACTAAATCCAATGTAACTGAACACAATGTAACTGAATCCAATGTAACTAAGCCCAGTGTAACTGAGTCCAGTGCAACTGAGTCCCATGTAACTGAATATAGTGTAACTGAATTCGGCGCATCTGAATCCGATGCAACTGAATCCAATGTAACTGAATCCAATGTAACTGAATCCAATCTAACTGAATCCAATGTAACTGAATCCAATGTAACTTAATCCAGTGAATAGAAAATCAAGTTGTCTACGTGTGTAATGACAACATTTGTTGCAGATTCACAATTACAAGGTAAATGTTAGATAGAGTATTATTACTTAAAAATACAGGATTAAAATGACTCAATAATTATTATAACTGTTTTTTTTAATAATTGGGGAAAATACAAGGAGTAATCTGCTTGTGTATTATGATGTGCAAGCAATCTGTACTATTTGTATATTTTATGTACTATGCGTGTACTATTTGTATACTAATGTGTACTAATTGTATACTAATTGCTCTTGTATGGTAATATTTGTGGCATACATACCTGCGTACGTCATTATTTTTATGAAGACATTAAAATAGAACAAATTAAACTAGATATTTTGGAGCAAAAATATTTTAAGGATGGGTGGATTAGAAGAACAATAATTAGGCAATAATTATTTTTCACAATCACAGAGTCCTCCCAAAACAGCTTTCAAAATTAAAATCAGTTTTTGGAAAATGTATTGCTTTGGAATAAAGCAAAGTACATATCAAATTAATTTTGTAAGCGAATATGTAGTTTGGAAGTTATTTTTTAAAAATAAGTTTTTAGAGATGATTTAATGCCTGTGTCTCCGTTAAAAGTGTTCAAAATATTATTATTGTCTAAACTTTGGTCTAAACTCAGTAAACTTAAAATTTGTTAACTTGCTGTGTACGCTATAGATAGGCGACCCTCTCTGCAATTATTCATCTTGGGCATGATTAAGAAGTAGACGAATAGAAGGAATCTTCTGTTTAATGCCGAACCCAAACAGTGTTCTATTATTGAGTGCTTCGCTGAGAGAACGGTACATTTATTCAAAAAGAATAGTCAAAATTTTCAGTTGGAAACTGATCCTTAAAATACAACGAGATTCAAATGGACACTCATAGTGATGTTAAGTATCGTTACTTTTATGGACTTGGACCATTTAGTTACTTTAGGGATCAGGACTCGTTACTTTGGATTATAGTTACTTTTTACGATCTTATTACTGGTTACTGGTTTTATTAAATAATTAATCATAAAAAATATAGCAGCTATATTTAACTATCACAAAAATGCAATATATAGGTTGGATAAACTAATAAAAAAAAGTAAGAAACAACAAATGTGAAATGGCAAGTATTCTGAAAAAACTAAATTAACAAGTGTTATTTTTTTTACATTAAGTTTTAATTGCAGTGTAAAAATAAAATATATTCTACATTTTTGGAATTTAGTCTATTCCTGCGTTCACTTATCACATAGCTTGAAAAAATGCGCTCGCAAGGGACTGATGTTGCAACAATGCATAAGTGTTTTCTTGCTAATATTGATAGCCAAGGATATATTTTTTCTATTTTATAACGGTTAAAACCGTTTTCGTTATTTGGACCCAAACATTGTAACGATCGGAACCGTTTTCGTTATTTTGAAACCAACATCTCTACACAAACGTCATTTGTCGTTTATGCCTTGTGTCAAAACTTGGATTGTCATTTCATTTTATCTCTGTCGACAAGCAAGTTGATTATTGAATTTTAATTATCTTTTATATAGTACATCCGATGTACTAATTGTCTTTAATATTTTCAATGACCGTCTGATTTTATAAAGCTTGGCTGTATATAGATGGTCCTATAGAAGTTGTATATAGATGATTTCAGTAGAAGTTCAGTAGAAGTTATATCGATGGTTTTATAGAAGTTTATCGAAAAAGATTGTTAGGAAGAACGTTCCAGCTGTATGTGTAGAAATATTGAAACTTAGAAGTTTGGTTCCAGCTACAGAGGTTGTTTCAAGTATTTCAAGAGGTTTAGTTCGAGCCATCCAAAGAAGTGTAAGAGATTTAGCTTTACCTAGGAAGAATTATCATTTGGTGATATCCAAGCCTATCATACGAATCCCCTGTACCTGCTACCTGTTATACCACAGATAAGTTATAATAAATCATTTAAATTTGAATAATTAAGTCTCTGTGAATTAGAATTTGTCGCTACCTTATTTAATTATAATATCATAAAGGTTAGTGATTTTCTATATTTTCATCATTAATCGCTTTTCAAGTTTAGAAAGTTTAAATATAGTGGCGTCCAACATTCTTTTTCAAAGTAATACGAGTTGTTTAATAACCTGACCCACTCCCCAAATAATAAGAGCTTAAAACACTATAAAAATAGATAATATAACAAGATCATATTACAGAATGGTGCCTCAACTGGGTTAAACAGCTCATTACTTTGAAATAGATTCCTTATAACTTATCGTTCTAATTCACATAGGTATTTCACAGAGATTAACGATACTAACTGCATGACTTCTTTATTTTTACTAATACCTTCTTACTTAATATTTTAACCTTTTCTACAAATCTGTGTATCGTATCGTCAAGTTTTATATAGTATCTGCATTTTCTACTAGTTTCGGTGTTTATTTATACATATTTTTACATATTTACACATATTTATTATTTTGCTAGTGATATATATCTATATATTCATTATACACTGATAAAAGTGTATAGTTTTTGGATTTTTACCTAAAGTTGATTTTTGTGCCTATCGAGTAAAAAATTTTTTGGTTAGTGATAAAACTTTGTACCTTTAATTAATTAAATATATTGCTTTTTATATTTATCTGAAGATGATGATAATGAAGTCATACCTATCGTTAATAACGATACCTATTACAGTGAATAATATATTCTGCAATTGTCTTGATGTCTATACCGTTCCTTTTAATAAGTTAAAATATTACTAAATTTTTCATATATAATGTCAGGCCAGAATAATAAAAGCTATTGTCAGGCCAGAATATTATATCTAGCATTTTATTCTGCTATTACCTACACGATCAAGTAGTACAGTCTGTAGTCAATTATTTCCTTTTAACACCAATGGAATATATACTGTCAGGCCAGAATATATCAAGCTTTTTATTCTGCTATTACCTACTCGACCAAGTGATACAATCTGTAGTCAATTGTTTCCTTTACACCAATGGAATATATACTGTCAGGACAGAATATTATATCTAGCATTTTATTCTGCTATTACCCACACGATCAAGTAGTACAGTCTGTAGTCAATTGTTTCCTTTTACACCAACGGAATATTTATTAGTCAGACCCGACATTACCTTATAACTTTTAATTGTCTGCTACTGCTATTTTTTTTAAGCAATACTGTCTGTAACAGCTACCTTAATTTTTGGTAATATGTATTCAGTTACTAATATTTTTTTTTTATTATTAAAAAATTTCTAGCTATTTTCCTAGTTACCATAATTTTCTTTTTACATTTCTCTCTATTTGTTAGTATAATTTTGGATAAGTATTTGAAACTATCTAGTTTGCAATTACCAATTTAGGAGAGTGTCCGAATTATATTAATAAATTTTGTTTTTTTATTTTTTTTTTCATTTGTTTGCTTAACACTGTATCTATCAGTTATTGATATAATTCTGTACAAGTTTTTGAAACTGAGACGTCAGTTTGCATTAACCATATTAGGAGAGTGTATAGAAATATATTTATAATTTTTTTTTCATGCTATTAAATCTTAGTGCAGTGATTTATTCAATATCTTTACCTACTTTTTATTAAATTTAGTAAATTAAATTCTACATTTTCTTTAGATTTTCGGTTTCTTCCCGTTATAATTAATTCTTTATTATGACTATTTAACTGAAGCATTTATTAAGAATTTTTTTCTCTTGATTGGTAGTAAATCTGTATAGTTATTAAATTTGAGTAATATTTTAATTTACATTACCTTTCCCTTAAATTCAGTATTAAAAATACCTAAATTGACTTTGAACTATATTATCTAGCATTTTATGTTTTTTCTTTATATGGTTAAGTACCTCACTCTTGCATAACTATTTGATCCCGAACTAAATTTAAATTATATTTTAATACAAGTAGTAAAAGTTTGTATATCTTTACTCTTTTTTCAATTATAATTTGAGAATTTATGCTTTTAGCAATATCTTTTGATACCTCTGTTTTCACTTTATATTGAAAATATTTTAGTTGAGTATTGCAAAATTTCATAAAAGGATCTTTCTTGCGGTCCAAGTTGTCATCCTCAGAATACATTCTAAGCTCTGCAATCGCTATAGCAGTTGGACTGGAGTTATTATTAGTTGATGATTTCACGATTCTATTAAAATCTTGCCAAATTAGGTTTTCATTTTCTACAAAATTTGATGTTTGTTTATCCACTATTTCAGACTCGGATACCAAGACAGAATCAATCTGCTTTTTTTCTTTAATTATTGTACTATCTCGTGTTGCAGTTTCTCTTTAACTTTCTGTAGCATATCATCATTTGTAAAGCCTCTTGTTTTAAATCCAAGGTCAATATTAGTACATTTTCCCATAAATAACTTTTTTCAAGATTACCAACCAAATCCTAGCAATGTCGCTTGTCACGTTTGTTTTAATTCTCTCTACAGACGATAGAAGCCCCTTTATTATGAGAATAATTTTCGAAAGAGTTACCTGTTTTTCTGAACTTAGTTCAATAGTTACAACTTCAAAAGGTTTGAGTATTTTGGTTATTTCTCTTAATATTTGCCATTCTTCTTCTGTCGGCAAAATAACTGGGTTATGTAGAATACCTACTATGGCAGCCAGTGATTCTTCTAACAAAACTATTCTGTCAATCATATAATATGTTGAATTCCATCTTATAGAAACGTCGTTTATTAATTTTAAAGGGGTCACATTAGAATTCATTTGAGATTAAGTCGCAAAAAAATTTAGAGTTAGGTTGAGAACTTCTACGAAAACAACTGACAATTTTTTTTATTTTTATTTGCAATTCTTCGATTAGTTTCAGTCCATCCCTCACAATTAAATTAATCGTGTGAGCAAAACACGGAATATGCACCCACTGACTTGATTTTACTGCTGCTACTATATTCGCTGCATTATCTGTTATTATCATACACTTTGATTTTCTTTTACTATACGGAGAATGGTCGCACTGCGCAGCTTTC